TTTTACTCCAGGACAGAAAGTTAGAATGATAAAAAGGGCAAAGATCATTTTGAATACGTTGAAAAATGATCCTGGAATAATATATATATATATATATATATATATATATATACACTGAATACATATATATATATATATATATACACTGAATATATATATATATATATATATATATATATATATATATATATATATACGATTGCGTGTAGCATGAAACAGCCTGTCGCCTCTGATCGTTGACTTCAATTTTCACTTTTATATTTATATTTACATACGTTCTACCTCTGATATTGTGCGCTTCATCACATCAATATAGCACACCTTAAAACTATACTTCTACGTATATATATATATATATATATATATATATATATATATATATATATATATATATATATATATATATTTGAACTTTATTTCAATCCTTCATGATCTTTCGATCTTTATCTAATATTAACTAATGATGAACGTCTTATTTTCGTTTATGATCTTAGAGAGTAATTGCTAATTTTTATTTCATACAGGGGAGTCCAACAGTGTTATAAACACCGCGGAGAACTCCAGTTAGATATCTTTAATCATTTCTACGAAACAACGGTTCAAAGCTTAATCTAACATTTGGGCAATTTTGCTGTTACACGATTTGGACAATGTTTATTGTGGAAATATTTACATTCGAGCCTTACCAAAATTTATTTTAAACTTACGTCCCGGGAGATTTTTCCGGCGTTAATCTGTGTGTTTTGAACAGGATCTCCAACAGTGCATATTTTGATGACCATAAAACTGTTAATACAAGTGTCCATTCATGCTGTTTCAGGGGGAATATGTATTTGCTAACAGAAGATACGCAGACAACACCACGTTGGTTAAAGATACAGAAAACAAACTGCTAGAACTCGTAGACAACGTAGAAAAGGGATGGGGTAAGATGTGGCTACCATCAATTCTAAGATGTCTAATCCTTTGTCGCTAGCAAGAAAGATGGCCTACGATCTGGGCTATGAACTGAAGATGTTGTAATCAGGCAAGTAAAGAAGCTTATATGGAAAGTATTGTAACAGTTGATGGCGTAGTTATCGAATCTGGATGCGAAGCGGAATATCTAAACTAAGTATTAAGAAACAAGAAAAATTAATTAGAAACAATGTTCCATAAGGGTACCTCTTTGTCTTTTCTATAAATATTTTCATGGTAATTGTTTGGATGAACTCTTCTCAATAATACCTAGACTTTTTGAATTTAAACACAGTACTAGACTAGCGTCAAGATCTAATGTTTTTACTGTTGAACTGGCAAGATGCAGCCGTAAATTCTACGCTAACAGTTTTTTTTTTACCTCTGACATCTCGCTTGTGGAACTTCCTTCCTGCTACATCCTTTCCAGCCAACTTTAATCTTAAAAAAAATAAACACAATGTCAATCGCTATCTACTGTCCTCCTGATTGCTCTTTTCTCTCTCACTAGTAACGTTTCTGTTCCTTATTCTTCCACACCCAATAACCCCTTGTGTCTTAGTGGCTTTAGTACCTTGGTTTGCCTGAGGTGGAATCCATTAAAAATAATAACTATCCACGTATATGGTAGTGAATACTAGACAATTTCCTCACAGACAAGGAGATAACTTGAGGCAACAGAGAATAAAATAATTCCATGAAAACTGGGAATTCCAATGACGAGTAACGACGGCGTTTTAAGAAAAAGAAAAACTAAAAAGAACACATGTAATTAGAATCAGAAAGAGACAGTTAATTTTTCTGTAATGCATAACGAGGAAAGAGGACTTGAAGGTTTTGATACTCACAGGGAAGCGGTGTAGTAAAATAGTGAGCAACCTAACGAACGAATTTCTGCAAATAGTAACGGTAATGGTGATATATGCCGTTTCCTTAAAAAAGGACTGAGTAGGAGAGTAAGGGAGAGTAAGTGGAAACGTTGCTTTGAGCTACAAAGTTGCGAAGAGCCACGATTGACCACGTCATGAAAACGATAAAAGAATAAGCATATGCATATATTTCAGATCATTATACAAGTTTGATTTATACCCTAATTGGGTACCCCGCATATGTGGCTTTGTATCAAACTTAGGAAAGAGACGCTTCCCTGTGAAAAAATGCTTAAAATCTTGCGTAAATAGTAATACTGTAATATCTTCGCGATTTCTTTGCAACCTAGACTTAAAACTCGACGTTGTTGCGGAGGTAATGAGATACCCCCCACCCCCATCCAGGTCCAGAGGTCTGTATACCAGCCGTTAATAACTTAGAATAGTGAATAACTATTTTGAAAGAAATAAAGCACTTCATAGTTGGCAGGTTGTCACCGCACATGATTTTTCCGTTGCTGTTATGACCTATTAAGCTTATCTTAGTTTGGCACAAGGACACAACTTTGGAGTACCTAATGCGGATCAAGCTCATTATTGAATAACATTAGTCAACCAGTATAGATGCTTAATAATTATTTACTATCGTTCCCTTTTTTCTATTGGGCTTGTGCTTTACTAAACTAAGAATGGTAAGCATCAAATCTTTTGCTTCCATTACATTGCACCCATGCGCACACACACACAGACACACACACACAAACACATGCACACACAAATACATACACATCAAGACACTCAGGCAGTCTCTCACTCAAAGTGGGGACTTAGGATAAATCCTGCGGGCTGAAGTGTTCCCAAAATGCCAAGGGATTTTATGAATTTTTTTTCTGTAATTATTTACGTGTTCGACTCTCTCTATAAACACGAACTTGTGCCATATTCAAGTGAGCGTAAAGACGAGCACGAACACATGCGCAAACACACACACACAGAATCACAAACATAAATACACGCAAACTTGCAGACACGCACATACGCAATCAGGCACGCACAAGAATATTGAATCCCAGAGATTGTTATAATGTTGAAGGTTTTCACAAATAATGAAACAGAGGGTTTGTAAGCAAATAAATTATACGCATGTCGCTCAGTAAATAAAAGAAAAATTATAGAAATTGATTCTGTATGTGATTCTTTTGCGGAAAGCACTTGGCTCGCAAAGGGAAGAATTTACGGAATTTCAAATCCAAAGGGAGGAATGTTGGCCGGGGGTGGGAGAGGTTGAGGAGGAATTTCATTCATATGGACAAATCATAAGCATGAAAGTGCAGAAATTAGTAGATGACAATTTAAAATGCGAGAAGACTCCAGGAAAACATGGGATCGTGATTGAAGGAATGTGGCCAGGCTGTCGAAGAACCACTGGTTTATGTTTTCGAAAATAATTAACTCAAAAGTTTAGTCTATTTCTGGGTTTTCCATTATCGCCCAAGTTCATCATCATCATCATCATCATCATCATCATCATCATCATCATCATCATCATCATAAATAATATTTATTATTACTATTATTATTATTATTATTATTATTACTAGTAGTAGTACTAGTTATAGTAATAGTAGTAGTAGTAGAAGTAATATTATTATTGAAATGAATTTTCTGTTGTTATATGTTGTTAATATTCAAACGCTAAAACTTATAAGTTCTTCAATTGAAAGAAACGGAAGTAAAAACGATTTATATGTAGAATTATAGTTGTTTTTTTTTTATACCCGAGAAACACAATTCAGCAAAAAAGTAAAACAAAGCATGTAAAAAAAAAAAATTACCTGGTGTGATTCCAGTTAATAAAAGTGAGTTATTCCGAAAAATTACCTTGTGTGATTCCAATTAATAAAACTGAGTTATTCCGATTAAATAGAAACTCCAATGAATCGATTGTAATTATCCGAAACTGTGTAATGTTTATCCCAAATTGGATAGAAAAGTATCTTTATTTTCCGTCATAGAATCATCGAATAAAAATTTGACTGAATTTAAAGAAAAAAAAATTACGAAATGTTTTCAACTTTGGAATAATAAAGAGACATCTTAAGCAGCATAAATTTCTTATAAAATATTTTTGCAACTACCAATTGTAACAGAAAAATGGAAAAATGTATTTTATGCCCAAATTTGTGATTTCTAAAGTTCAGAAGAATTTTGTGCGTATATCGATTAAATGGAAGCAAACACGTTTGGAGCTTTTTGAATATCCGTACATAGACACCAGTATCCCTGCTTGACCGAAAGACGGGCATCCACCGTCAGTAGCACTGGAAATATCGGCAAAGAAAACGTATAAATATCTCCACGAGGAAATAAAGAATGTGTTTCTTGAAACACTCACGCATGCCCACAAACGACAACACTATCGTCTGTACGCATCGTCAGGTTGAGAAGGACGTGTTTGCACTTGTACGCGCCTTCCTGCTTTTTTCTAGTGCGCCGCCGTGCCTACGTGTCTTTTAGGCTTCGTCGTGCGATCGTAAGCATGCGCGTACTGCTATGCGCGAAATTCGTTCTTCTGAGTATGACAGGGCGTGCGTGAGCGCGATTCCGATTTTTTCATTTTACAGTTGGCGTATGTGCGTGCTTTCTATTGTGTCTGCGTACGCAGACAATGGGCAAATGTTGCTAAACTACAATCCGCTGAATGCCGCTGTTATGAGATGCTTAGGAGTTCCCTAGGTTGAGGGTCGGGGAGCGCAGGTTTAGTCTTAGGTAGGGGTGGCAGAAGAGTTGATACAGTACTTTCTTTCTTTCTTTCTTTCTTTCTTTCTTTCTTTCTTTCTTTCTTTCTTTCTTTCTTTCTTTCTCAAACCAACAATTCTATGAAGGTGTCACACTTCAGTGACAGTGAAGACTGCTCCCGGCAAATTTATTTTTCTCTTTTTACTCTAGTTTAATATTTTTTAATTGAACAAAAAAGAAGAAGAAGAAGAAGAAGAAAAACCTACAAAACAAAAACTACAATAAAACAAAAACAAAACAAAGCTGCTGTCATCTTTTTAACCTAAGGAGAAGAAATACGATGTAATATTTTAACCATGAAACTAAATGCATAAAAATCTTCCTCTTGCTATTTTTCTATCTCGGAATAAATTTGATATATGAAATAGCAAATACAGGGAGAAAATGCAAGCGGTAAAAGATGCTGGGGAGAGAGAGAAGGGTGGGGCGATAGAATGGAACGAGAGAAGACAGTAGCAATGAAAAAGAAAGGAGTGGAAAAAGTAATAAAACGGATAGTCAAAATAAAAGCGAAAGAAATTCTTTGAAAAGAGAAAATGAAGAGAAAAAGTCATCAAATATAATCCCTAAATAACAATGGAAATGAGCAGAAATGTGCAAAAACGAAAAAGCCCATAAGAGTCATAAAAACTGAAAAAAGAATAATAGAGAAATCATGAGTGAGGGTGGGTGGGGGGAATTAACGGATTGCGTGGGTGGATGAAAGGAACGCCAAAGTAGTAGTGAGAAGGTTGATGAAAACATGAAAGACTTGGTAAATATTTGAATGAACGAGAAGAGAAATGGCGATCAGAAAGTCGACAAGGCGGGAAAAACATGACAGAGTGTGAAGAAAAATGGAATAAATGAAAAAAAAAAACGAATGAATGAAAATTAAGAAAAAATAATATAAAAAAATGAAATAATTATGAAAAAGAATAACAATTAACAGAAAGGAAAATAGGGAGGAAGTTAAGAATAAAAGCAAAAGAAAGAAAGAAAGCAAGAAAGAAAGAAAGAAAGAAAGCAAGAAAGAAAGAAAGAAAAAAGAAAGAAAGAAAGAATTGACAAGAAATTAAAGGAATAAGTATGGTCAAGAATTAACAGAAAGAAAAGTGAAAAAAGGAGAGAAAAACTGAAGAAATGAATGAAGAAATGGATGAAGAACTGAAAGAAAATCTGAAGAAATTTCCAGAAAGAGACAAAAATAAATGAAGAAGAAATGAAAATAGAAAAGAGAAAAATCTATGAAGAAATGAAAAAAGAATAAAAAGGAAAAGGGTGGAAGAAAAATTAAGGAAGAAAAACAGATACAAATACGAAAGAAAATGGCAAAAGAAAGAGAAATTAATAAAGAAGAAACAGAAATAGAAGAAGAAAAAATTAAGGAAGAAAGAAAGAAAAGTAACGAGAAAGAAAGAAAAGAAGAAAAAACTAATGGAGGAAGTAATTGTCATAGAATAGGAAAGAAGTAGAAAAATTAAAAAGTGAAAACACGAGAAAGAAAATAATAGAAAAGGAAGAAAAATAAAAATACAGACAAAAATTAACGAAGAAAACTGAAAGCTAAATATGAAAAAAATAATTTGAAAAAATGAAATGAAAGAGAGCAAAAGTTTAAAAGAGAAGATTGAAATAAATAATTGAAAGAAAAAAAGTGAAGACAAATAAATAATAAAATAAAAGTGATGTAAAAAAGAGGAAAAGGTGGATGAGAAATGAAAGCACAGAAAGAAAAACAGAGAAAAAAGGAAAGAAAGAAAGAGGAAAAGGAAAGAAACTATATTAAAGACAAGAAAACTGGCAAATGAAATACACGGAGAAAGAAAAAGAAAGAAAGAAAGAAAGAAAGAAAGAAAGAAAGAAAGAAAGAAAAATACATGAATTTATTGGCAGAAAGACAGATAAAAGCAGAAGCGAAATAAAGAAGCAAAGAAAAGATTAAAAAGAAGAAAACGCGAAAAGCAAAAGACAAAGTAGGAAATGAATAAAAGAAAGGAAGGAAAGAAGAAAGGAAGAAGGAAAGAAAGAAAAATACATGAGTTGATAGACCGAAAGAAAGATAAAAGCAGAAACGAAATAAAGAAAAAAATTTAAAAAAAGAAAACACGAAAAGCAAAAGACAAGGGTGGGGAGAGAAAGAAATAAAGAAAGAAAGAAAAAGAAGATAAAAAGATGTATGAACTGGAAACGAAAAAATAAAGAAAAATTTCTATGCAAAACACAAACAATAAAAAGAATAGAGAAAAGAAAAATGAAAGATGAATGAAAAAAGACTGAATGCTAAGGAAGGAAATTAGGGAAAATGAAAAGAGAAAGAAAGAAAGAAAGAAAGAAAGAAAGAAAGAAAGAAAGGAAAATTTGTGACGGGTGGCGGTGGGGAGTACAGTGTAATCAATTTCAGCCAAGTGTGAACGGTGAATCCGACATTTCCCAGATAACAAAGTGGAACCAATGTTATTGGACCGTAAAAGACCGAGTAAAAAGAGAGGAGAATGAAGGACAAGGGAGCGATAGCGTGGAGTAGCGAGGGAGAGTGATGAAAGGAAGAACTAGAAGTGTGGTAGGGACTCTATTTGCAGTGGCAGGTAAGTGTGACTTTGGGCACCGGTCCACCACACTGCTTAGAAACGAGGACCATCGAACGTAGGAGTGGGGAAAAGAAATGGTGTTGATGGCATTGAAGGCAACGTAGAGAAACGTGGTGGATGGCGGTAAAAGAAAAATATTTTTATGGAGATAAGCTAGTTTATTAAACAAAGGGGTGGGAAAAAGGGAAACTGCAGATGGAAGTGAGGAAAAAGAAAGGGATGTGCTGGAGAAAGGTGAGATGTGTATGACAGTGGCGTGACAGAGGAAGGAAAGAGGTTTTCGCTCTTTTTATTTATGTCTTTAAAATGACTTCCTTTCTCGTAAACGATCGCTTTTATTAACTTGACGTTTCTCCCTGCGTTTTATTATTTCCGTCAGTTTTGGAATCTTTATTAGCAATTTCGCTTTCTCATTCATCTCGGCTTTTATTTATATTAAAGTTAAATTTAATTTCCATATTCATTATATATATATATATATATATATATATATAAAAGTGAACATAAAAGTCAACACTTCTGTTTTAAAAGCTATATGCAATCGTCAGGCCTGACGATTGCATATATATGAAATCAGACTGTCGCTTCAAGTGTTGACTTTATGTTCACTTTTATATTTACACACGCTCTATCTCTGATATTGAGCATTTTATCCCATAAATATAGCACACCTTAAGACTATATTTCTTCATATATATATATATATATATATATATATATATATATATATATATATATATATTGGTAAATAGTAGGACAGACTGGGTTCTATAACCTTAGATGGCAACTGGTCTATAAGAAGAAAAACTCTGAATTCAAAATCCGCGGAAGGTCGTTTGGGGACCCTGTGGCACGTCATGCACCAGGTTTCTGTATTCAGCCCTCAAAAAGGTGTGGATGGTTCTGCACAAAACCTTCACCATCATAATCAAATCTCATCTGCTGGTGTCGGGCTGTTAGTTTGCTAGGAACGGATCTGCTTGTCCCTCATACGTCGAATTCGACGGGAGAGTCGGTTATGTATGTGTGTATGTATTACAAGCAGATTCGGCTATACTTATAGCCATTATAAATGATGAATAATTATTTTACGTTTAAATGAATATACACATTGTTTTATGATATATCTAGAGTTATAGGAATATTTTATTTTCCAAACACGGTCAGCATATTGTAGCCGTGTTCATAGTTGATAGTATTGAATGTTGGCTTTTTCTTTCTTTATTAATATTGTTTTCATATAATTTATGTCCTGAAGAGAAAAAATATATACGAACACATGAAAAATTATATAAAAAAATCATCCACCACAACTCGTCAGTGGTTTTAAACAATTCATGCATATATATATATATATATATATATATATATATATATGCATGTATGTGTGTGTGTGTATGTAATATAATAGAGCTATTAAGTATCTATTGACATACATTCCCGTAGCACGACTCGGAGTTTCATGTATAACGCAATCTTCATTTGAAACAATAAGGTTCAATCTCCTTTCTAGACACATTGTGTCTGTGTGTGTGTCTGTGTGTGTGTGCGTGTGAGTAGATTGAACCAGGTTGTTTCACCAAACGATTGCGTTGTTCATGACATATATGTGTGTGTGTGTGTGCGCGCGCGCGTGTGGTGTGTGTGTGTTTGTGAGAGAGAGAGAGTGTGTGCGTGTCTGTATACAGAGAGTGTAACTAATTGTTTTATGGCTCAATGCATTCTTCCGTTTTAAGCAATGTCTATTTATCTATTCTGTCTCTATCTCTCTAAAACACACATACACGCAACACGAGCACACACACACACACATATATATATATATATACACACTCAATATATATATATATATATATATATATATATATATATAAACAACAGGATTTTCTCAATCATGTAACAACAAAAGGACACACCAATTCGTTCACTAGCTCAGTCACTAAATCTACATTCAAAATCTACCACAAATTTAAGTGTAGAAGTCGTAACATAATTTAACTAGTAGAATGCACATTATGCCAGAAACAATATGTGGTGTAATCGTTATGGCCTTTTCACTATAGAATTAATAATTATTTTAATCGAAATAAGTCGGCTCCCCACGAAAGATTATTAACCGTAGAACAACACTTCCGCCTAGAAAAACAGGATTTTAAAATCAATGCTAAATTCACCATAATTGAAAAATTAGAAATAGACAGCAAAGATTACCATAGAAAAATTTTAGAAGCACATGAAGACAAATGGATTTTACACCTCAAAATACGAGCTGAACTACAAATTTAACAACATAGATAGAATTAATATATAACCCCATAATTCAAAACTCACCCACATTTCTCATCCGCACGAAACGACATGCTTGTGGAGGTGTTGAGGTCTCACACTTATACACACACCCATACTAATATATACACTTACGCACATCATACTCACTCCCAAAGAACTAAAAGATAACACACACTTAACCCATGCACATTCCTTTCCCAGCAGCCAATAAAACTGTCAAAATGACCAAGACAGGTATTCTTAATCTCCTCAGCCTCTATCTTAAAAAACTGCTTAAAAGAGGCCGTTTGACCAACACAAGGAATGACCAAAATTAACGATAAAAAAAACAATGAAAACTACAGATAAATTTCATTTTCTTCAGAATGTCATTAACTAACAAGCAGGAATTCTTTTTTCTCCTGATGATGGCTATACTGGCCAAAACTCTAGATCAGGAACCTAATTATAATAACAAAACAAAAAAAAATATGAATATACAACACAGTGTGTCGGAAAATTTAAATTTTTGTATTGTTCAAAACACACACACACACACACACACACACACACACATATATATATATATATATATATATATATATATATATATATATATATATATATATATATAACACATAAGCTAATGTGTAAAAGTGTATAATTATTCGTGTTGTGTGCATAAAGTTGCATTTGTTTTGTATGGAGACCTATTTATTTTCTTCTTCGTATGTGCGTTATTAACGTATGTTCAAATCAACCAATATTAAGCACAGATGTTGACTCTTAGGAACTAAATATATTAACATTATCTATTAATTGAAAAAAAAAAGAATGGCTTTATATTGGTGGCAGACGAAGCGAGTTTTGTTTGTGCAATTTTAAGTAAAGAAATAGATAGTGTCGGCTTCGTAAACGGAAATCGAGCAGGGTAGTATGGCTTTTCACTTTTCTTTTTTTTTTTAAATAGTAATCCGAGAATTGCAAATTTATCAGAAAGGGTTCACGTTCGACATTGACGGTTCGTCGACTTGCAAATACGCATTGGAATGGAACACCAAGGATGCAGTAGGGGCCTGGCAGGAGGCAGTGTTTCACCTACTGCAGCAGAATAACGATAGAGGTTTGGAGAGAGATTGAAGAATAGGGAAAAGTGGCGTAGATGAATAAGTAATTTTGGAAGCATTTGGAAACTTCTAAAAGAGGAAAAAGAAAGAGAAATAAAGATAAGAACTGCAACTGTAAACATCTTTAAAGAAACGGATATGAAAAAGAATCAAACTAGAAAGTAAAAGAACAAACGAAACCAAAAACAAATGCATATTACTCGTGTACAGGTCGATAAGACACTTTTGAACAAAGATGAATGAGTTATGTTTCGACTGTTCTCTTTCGGTTTTTCGCGTTAATCCGAAGTCAACTTCTGATAACAAGACCCTACACCCTTGAGCAAATTAATTGAAACAACCATTTTAGTTTTCTTCTTTCAACATACGGTCCATTTTAACCCCACTGGAATAACAGGGTTTAATCGATTTCTATTTTTTCCTCAAATTATATTATTTGCAGAGATGTGCAGTAATATGAATCTAATTTCGGGCTGTATGATGAAATTTGTTTGGCCTTTAAAAATATTACGTCATCCGTGATAGTATCAGATTTTTATCACGCCCATACACTACTTTCTCGACTGTCGATTAGTTGTCCTATGACCATTGTCTGCGATGGACATCACTGCAAGGAAGTGTACGAAAATTGTAACACTCCACGAACGCACTGGCAAGCCTTACTAGTGAGAAAATCAAATTACTATAGACTAGCCCAGAAAGTCTCCTGATTTAAATCTAATCGAGAATCTGTGGTCAATCTGCAAGGAATGATTTCGTGGAATGGAGATAGAAATACTAACATGTGCGCTGAGTCACGTTTTATTGGAAAAATACGAAAAATAAGTAAATAATAACGGAATTATTCGTTTTGTTTCAATTAATTTGCACAGGGGTATAAATTTGATGCAAGACAAATTTTCTCACATAAATTATTACGAGAGAAATATTCTGTAAAATCAGTATTAACTGAAGACTAAAATTTGAAAGTTTTTCTTTTCATTGAAAAGCAAATCCATCAAAAAACGATAGAAAAACATTCCGATAAAAAAATTGTTAGCGTAAATCACTAAAATCACTATTGCATATTATTTTGAAAAAAAAAAAAGAATTATTCCTTTTAAATCCGAATAGAATATTATTCTCATATAAACAATTATTCCTTGAAATAACAATCCATGATTCTAATGCTAAGGGTTATTTATTTAAACAAAGTACAATATTTGATATAATGGAATATGCGTACACCTATGTTCCCCCTCACTGGAATATGATTGGCTGGTGTCCGTCATAAATACCGACGGACGTGTAGGAGAGTCTGAGGGCTACGTCTATAACGATGCCCATTGGACTATGCCATTAATCTACACGTCTTACCTGCGACTACGACGCGTACCAGTCGATTACTGCTACCGTATTCTACTTGGTTATAGTAGCCAAAACCACTTAGCTACTTCGTTCAAATATATTCCTTTCCGGGACATATCAATATTCTGCCAATAAAATAATTGATTAATTTAAATCCAAATTAAAATTATTCTAATAAATATGTAATATTAAATAATATATTCTACAGGCGAATCTTTTTTTATGTCAAAAACGTTGCTTTCTCTCATATTACGGAGATGCCAAAATAATTTTTACTCACGTTTTTCTTTCTTTTTTTTTTTGCCAACAATTAACTTTTAAAACAACGCATTATTCACTATTTTCCTCTCCATTGCATTGTTTCTTTCAAGGCTCATCTACTGCACTACTTAATTACTGTCATGGTTTTTTTTCTGCTGCCATAGAAAGGCCGTCAAAATATTCAACAAGACGAGAAAATAAGAGGATCTGAGAGAGAAACAAATTGAAATGAGAATAAAAGCATAAACAAAATGAACAAAGTTATGAATATAGAAAAAAAAAGAAACGGAAGATGAAGAAAAAAATTCTTTAATTCTATGAACCCGATTCATGGTGTGGTCATTTTCCAGATTGGGAAGCTGTAATAAAATGGCGTCTACCCTACCCACCATTTTCCCCTGTATGTCACGTCTTGATCTGAGAAGACCTCAATACACATCGACGCTACATCTAAGCTTCCTACCACACCAGTGCTCAACAGCATTGTTTTGGCTTGTACAAAAAAGGCCCTGATTACATGTAACAAGCATATAGCGTAATTAATACATTTTGCAACAAAGAGAATATATTTGTTTGAAATTTGGTTCATTTATGAATACAGAAACAATAGGCTAGATTGATACACATTGCTTGGGTGTTTTGCATTGTTAATTTGGAATTGCTTGTGAGTTATACCAAGGTGTATTACAACTATTAAAAGGAAGTCATTAAGATTAAGCAGACAAAATATTAGAAACTAGTTACCATACCAAACTGGTCGATCAGAAAAAGCGTTCAATTAGAATGGAGTAAAAACAGCACCATGTTTAGACGTAACAGAGTTCTTCAATTACTTTAAAGACTTACATTAAAAAACATTTAGAATTAATGCAGTTACTTATATAACAGAAGTAGTCTGTATTTATTCAATCGAAGTTAGCCGAGGATATGAATGGGTAAAACAGGCAACATGAAGACCCACTTCAGACCACAATTATTTTGGAGTTTTTGAAATTCAATTTCTCAGTATGCTACCAGGGATATAAAAGAGGATACATTCATAAAGCAATTGTTAAGTTTGATTAAAATTTAACGAAAAATAAGAAAGAAACAAGTAAAAATCGCCATTTTTTGCTATATAAGCGGGTTTTCACTATATGGGTGGACTTAATTATCAAGTTAAATGACTGTTGAACAATCAATTTATTGTTGGCTACAATTGAGTGAAATTTGTATTAGATTGCTTGTAAGTAGAGGAAATATTTAGTTTAAAATTTGTGTTGAAATCGATTTTTCGTTTTCCACGTTTTTTTAGTAAACGCGTAGAATTAAAATTGAGGTATTGTTGAGCTCGTCATCATGTAAGTAACCTACACACCGAGTTTGAACGAAATCGGAGGAAAAAGTTTAATTTATCGATTTTTATCGGCTTTATCGATTAATGATTTTAAAAAAATTATCAATTTTTTAAGCTAAGAAGCTGTTTCTTGCATTATACAATAGATTTGCTAATTTTGGTCAAAATCGGTTGGATGGATATCGAGTGAAAAGGTATCACCCAGGCAGACAGATACACACACACATCCTCTGTTATATATATATATATATATACGTATATATATAAGGGTCAAGCAGATCAGTTCCCAGGAAACCGACAACCCTGCAACATCACATGATATTTGATTATAGTGGTGAAGGTTTCGTGTAGGACCATCCACACTTTTTAAAAGGGCCGAATACAATGCCACAAGGACTCCAAACGACCCTCCGCAGGTTTTGAATTCAGAGTTGTCCTTCTAGACCAGATGTCATCCAAGGCTATAGAACCCAGTTTTTCCTGCTATTTACCCATAACAGGAGGGAGAAGAAGAGAATTCACACCTTTCCCAAGGGTATTAGTAATGGATTCGACTGGAATTTGAACTCGGCTCTCCGATTCCTCAACCCAATCCGCTATCCATTACCCCACCGTGCTTAGTCGCATTAACATTTTTTTTTATTGTCATATCAGGTTTAGTTCTGTTTCTCGAGCCTTGTCAGTATCTACATGGATGACTGCTTGGGAATACCGGGTGATGTAAGCTTGGGCAGTGTAATGGATAACGGCACGAAATGAGAAATCGGGGTGTAGAGTTTGAATTCCAGTCGGGTTCATTCACTGACACGCAAATTTATGTGGACGATCATGAATCACATGACCTCCCCTACCTACCAACACGCATTGATAGTGTAACAGTCTTTCCACTCCATCTGGGAAAGTCATACGCCTAACAAAGGATATTTACAGGCTAAGAAGAAGAAGAAATTTTCAGTAAATTTTCATTGTCGTTGCATTTGCCATCATCAGTTTTGTTGTTATACTATCAATCGTCACATGCATTTCTGATGTTGCTTTTACCCTGTGCCGTATTGACTGTCATTTATTATGGGGTTATTAGTTATGTGGATTCGTCTTTTTCTTTTGCAAGTCAACCAAACGAAGCACTCTGGCCAAAAACGTTAAGACGTTGAAAGTCCCTGTGTCATTTCATATTCCAAGTCTATATCAGAATATTTCTGTGGACCCCGTGAAAACTTTCAGGCGTCATCCTTCGGATATGCCCTTGTCATTCAAGTCTACTGGAGAAAATTAAATGAAAGGAAAGAGGTTCGAAAAGAAACAGGCTCCCGAACTCTGTCGGCGTTACATCCTGCTATTGCGTTCGAAGGATTCGTCGCGACAATATTTGGATCATATATATCTATATTAATATCACCATCCGAAAGCATTTGTCTGGCCGCACGCCACTCACCCTCCTTCCCTTCGAATTCTTTTGGTAAGAATTTATTTTCACTCAAGATTCTTTCTTCAAAACTGTGCCAATTTAGAATGAATTCCGAAGAGGATGCTTTCTGATCAATACAATCTTAACCATTTCTTTAATATCTTTCTCTGAGATGATGTATTATGATTACTTGCATTATTTACATTATTCACACCGTTATCCTCATCTTCATTGCCATATTCAAAACGTTTCGGTCGTTGTACGCTTCGACCTTTATTTCTATGTCTTTAAATATTTTATATATCTCTGAGATGAATAATTATGATTATTTACATTATTCGGACTGTTATTCTCATAATCATTGCCATATTCACAACGCTTTGTCCATTGTACGCTCCGGCTTCTCTCTATATATCTGTCTATATCTGTTTCTCGAGCCTTGCCAGGAGATAAGGTATTATGATTACTCGTATTATTTACATTATTCGGACTGTTATCCTCATCTTCATTGCCATATTCAAAATGTTTCAGCCATTGTACGCTCCGGCCTTTATGTCTATGGCTCTCTATATATCTGTATATATCTCTGAGATGAAGTCTTAAGATTACTTGAATTATTTACATTATTCGAACTGTTATCCTTATCTTCAGCGCCATATTCGCAACGTTTCGGTCCTTGTACGCTCCACCCTTCTTCAGGTGATTGGAATATCGATCCGAACCCGGAAAACCCCGAAAATGAAAGTAATTTCTGTCACATTCACTAAGCA